GGGGAGCAGCAGCACCAGGCAGGGTCCCAGGTGGCTGAGCCTGAAAGGAGAGAGGACCGAGTTCGCAAGGTCTGAAACCAGTTTGGATCTGGAGTATGAATGAAGCATCTCTTTTGCGATCAGGAGTAAAGAACAGGTGGGAGCCTGAACAAGCTGGACCCACACAGGTTTTTATCCAGGCAGCTCGTCTCTTCCTGCAACCATCTTACTGCTGTCTTCCAGGAATCTGTTCAGTTTTCTCGAAACAAAGTTCATCTAATTGGGTACAGCCTGGGCGCGCACGTCTCGGGATTTGCTGGCAGTTACATCGGCGGAAAGAACAAGATTGGGAGAATTACAGGTAACCATGCCTGATACCTGACAACTGTAATCTCCAACCGGTGTCGGGGCATGGAGCAAGCACATGCTTTCCCAAGTCTCATAGTGAACCCACCCCAGCTTCCTCCGCGCTGTGTTGGTGTTCAAGGGAGGTCAAGGGGCACTATTGGAAACAGAGCGCTGTCGTGGAGCGCTGGTCCCTGTGAGTTAGGAAGTCACAGCCTCCATTCCTAGTGCCTCTCCTCAAACGCATGCCTCTCATAGTCACACTAAACAGGATCTAAGAAGCAGACCCTCTGTACACTTTGTAGCAGGAAGGAGTTTTGTTTTTGTTTTTGTTTTTGTTTTTTTTGTTAATCTTCACCCAAAGATATTTTTCCCATTGATTTTTTAGAGAGAGTGAAAAGGAGGAGGAGATACACAGAGAGAGAAACATTGATGTGAGAGAGACTCATCGATTGGTTGCCTCCTGCACATGCTCCAACCAGGGTCAGGATGGAGCCTGCAACCCAAGTACATGCCCTTGACTGGGAATGAAACCCAAGACCCTTCAGTCCACCAGCCGACACTCTAACCACTGAGCCAAACCGGCGAAGGCAGTTTATTTTTCAACCTATAGTTTTAAAAGCCTGACATGAGGGAGTTAAAGAATCGCAGCTCTAAATCTGCTGTAACATCAACCATATTCATGCCTCAGTTTCTACATTCGTGAAACACATGGGTCTTACTCTGGGACCCATCTGGATTGAAGGAGGAAGCTCTGTACAAGTCCCAAGCTCTACACCCACTCAGAAATGGCCCTCAATAATCAGGAAGAGATAAGGCATGCAAGAAGGCCTCTCTTCCCAGGTGTCCCTGATACCCACCACACCCCCAGGTGGCCCCAGAGTTACATTAGGAAAAACACACCTGATCAGACCGTTCCCCAGCCAAGTCCCCGAGGCTCACTGATTTCTATAATGGCCCAGGCAAGGCCCTTCTTGTGACCCCAGAGCTCCAACTCCTTGGGCAGTTCCCTTCCTATAATTCTGCTCCCATAATACGAGATTTTTCTCCACTTTACAAACATGCTGTGGCCTCTTGTGCTTCTGGGCCTTTGCATGTACTGTTCCCTCTGCCTGGAATATCTTACTGCTGCTCAGCCACCCAGCCCTAGTCTTTCACAGGCTAAAACAATCCAAAGGAAATTTAAGATGAATAGCATTGCTGTGACCTCTTATTTTATCAAGTAAGAACATTGGGGTAACTACTGTCTACTCTTATCATTACTTCATAAAAGAAGACATTTATTTTAATATGAAAAAAGATAGAGATAATGGCAGACATTTACACCAAGTAAACTTGTCATTATGAGAATCCTTTTTTTTTAATCTTGCTGGTGACTGGGGAGGCCTGGCACCAGTCATTGTGCCCCTACCGCAGTAATGTAACACTCAGTAGCCTGGGAGTGAGCAGACCGACCCTCCGCAGCAGGCCAATGAGGCCTGTCACCGAGGAACAGGCCTAAAGGCTGAGTCAGAATCGCAGAGGCTGCATCGAGCCCAGACCCCCTTCACTCTGGTTGGGGCCGTGGGCCACGTCCAGCATTATTAGCCAGGCCCACACGTCAGAGGCAGCAGGACAGCTGATTACTCCGTTGTCGTCTTGTAGTCAGCCTGATGGAGAAAGGAATGTAAATCACATCAAGGCATTCTTCGTACATATCTGTAGTGAAGGTTGGAGAACAGGCACTCTCAGGCTTCCTGTCCATTTCTTTGTCCCCATCAGGGATGAAAGCCAGGGCTGACGTGGGACATCAATGGGCAATCCAGAGAAGGTAAAGGAAGAGAGAGAAAAAAACCTTGAGTGCATGAATACTCCCTAGCTACTATCAGCAGGAGCTGCCACTTGTCTCTTGCAAACGTATCTATCACTGAAGGCCCAATGCTTTGAGTGGTCCTATCACAATATTTTCACCAGGGAACAGTGATGTACCAAGGCTGTTCTGGACATTCCGATGAAATGGCATTCAGGTAGGAGAAAAGCCAGCTTGTTTAGAAAAATTATTGATGACATGCTGGCAAATTCTTTTTTGATGGGTAGGTTAGAGCTACTTACAATAAGCACAGTGGGTTTTTTGTATGCAAACAGGTGCTCCTGAAAGTAGCTGGAGAGGTACTTGAAACCGATTTGCTTAAATAAATCAAGCATTCCCTCATAACCTTATTTCTACCGCTGGATAGTTCCTGCAAACCTCTTTTCCCCATAGATAATGCGCAGCCTGTGTTCAATTTTCAGCACCATGAATTACTGTGGTTTTACTGCGAAAAGGTTGTGGCAAGATTTTCTAGAGAAAGATTATGCCCTAGGATTTTCTTCTTCCTGCTAGCTCATGAATGTGTAATAACATGGAAAAGCTAAAAAGAGCATTTCTCCTCTCCTTCCTTGTGCCCACCTAAACTTTACCCTTGCTTTCCTGTTAGGGTTGGATGCCGCGGGCCCTTTGTTTGAAGGAACTTCCCCCAAAGACCGTCTTTCACCAGATGACGCCAATTTTGTGGACTCCATTCACACCTTTACCAGGGAGCACATGGGCCTGAGTGTAGGCATCAAACAGCCCATAGCACACTATGACTTCTACCCCAATGGGGGCTCCTTCCAGCCTGGCTGCCACTTCCTAGAGCTCTACAAACATATTACCAAGCATGGCCTAAACGGTAAGGAAGACGACGCCTCCGAGAGCACTGGCCTCACTCCCCTCCCTTGCGTGGGGCCTATGGATCCAGTGGAATCTACCAACTCTAGATTCTGGGAAGAGTTTGGCAAGGATGGGGACCCAGGGTGTGTGCTCATCAAGTCCATTCAGAGAGAGGGCTTGTGGGCATGAGTAAGGGCTGGTATTCCCCCAGCGGGCAGGCCCCTCCTCCTATCAGACAGGGGCCCTTGGAGCCCAAGCTCTGAGGATGAGCTGAGGGCACCACCAGGAATCCCCACCTCTTACCCCACTCAGGGTAGAGTCTCCCCTGGGATAGGAGCCCTTCTGAAAGTTGAGTCCTGATGCTTGTGATTATTCCATCTCCTCCAGAAGCTTCCTCACCCAGGCAGCTTCCACTCTCCTGGCTCATATGAGGATCCATCTAATAGATTATGGCTTTGATCTTTGGTCTCACAAGAATGCAAATGATTTTCCCACCTCTATGAGGTTTAATCAGCTGATCCTCCAGCACAGCACTGAGATTCTTCCAGCTCGAAGTTCAGCTCTAAATATGTACTCATGACTCCGTTTAGCTCAGAGCAAAAACCGAATGTGGCCTTACCTGGGTTGTGATCCCACTTCCCTCTCAAATCCGAAACATTAACATGTACATTGATAACACGCACAGGATTAAACAAAACTGTCAGCAAATACCACACTTTCCATAGACATTCCAAATTTCTCATTATTATAAAATATTATCCTAATTAAAACATGCCAACTCACTGAGAGCCAACTGGAGACTCCACCCCCGCATACCACTCACTGTCTCACCCCAGTCATCCAAAACTGAGCTGAGAACACACTCTGTGATTGCGTCAGCACCACCGTCTCCTATCAGGATGACCTTCGCACTCGACATTATCTCATTTTGGCAGGACGCCCAGCCTTCCAGACACCCACGCCTGAGAGAACCTTCTGGGAACTTCCCCTGTCATTCCTTACATCTCCCTGGAGTCATCGCCCATCTAGTCACCAGCAGCTCCCGCATGACTGTCCATCCAGCCCTCCTCCCAGACCTACACCCTCCCAAAGCCCAGCACAGACCTCTAGGAGGGTGTTTAGTAACTAACAGCCTAGTAAATGCATCTCTGCCCAATGAGAGATGTCTGCTCTTTTGTGCTAAATTTCAAAGTGATGGAATCAAGTATATTTATTTAGCTTGCCCATCCTTGGCATGGTTTTTCTCACCCTTCTGTTGGAAAGTGATCCCATTCTGGGGTGGTTCTCACATCCATGGCTGAACAGAAGGTAACTTGATAACTGCTTTACCATCCTCAGCACCCAGGTAAGGCCAGGTGAGCCCGGGTGAGCTAGTGAATGTCTTTGAAGCTCCATGTTCTCACTTGCAACAGCTGCCTCCAGGAGCTGTATGAAGATGCAGGGAGTAGACGAGCAGAGGCACTCGGCTGGGTACCTGCCTCATAGCAGGTGCTCAGCTAATGCAGCCACCAGTGACCAAGAACCGAGGTGACTACTCCTGGGGAGCTTTGGGCAAAGTTACCTGTGCTCTACCTTCACGTTAGGTACTTGAAGTGTTTGATGGTGGTTCTTCAACATTCTTTGAGAATCATTTACTAAAGATTAGGTTAAGATTTGGAGAGCTTTGGAGGGAAAAAAAAGAAAGGTAGCTAAACCTCCCAAGCTTGCTGGAAGGATTAGGACCATTCACACCTGGTCACTGGGGTGTGTTCTCCTAGGAGCCCATCCCCATGCTGGTTTTACAGGCCAGTTACCCCAGCGATGCAATGGCTGCTTTGGGATAGAAGGTAAACATTCAGAGAGGCCTCAGCTCTCACAGACCATTTGCTGAGCTGCTAGAGTGCCTCGGCCCTGGTTTCTGTAGCTTTAGTAAAGCAGAGGCTCCCACACAACCTTCCAGCTAACTCACCACCAAGGCATCAGCACTCATGCGTTTCCACCATTTGAGAAAGAAATATTTCTAAAAGGAATTACACTATCCTGCTTTCTTTTATTTTTTTTAAATTTTTTAAAAAATATATCTTTATTCATTTCAGAGAGAGGGACGGAGAGAGAGAGAGAGATAGAAACACCAATGATGAGAGAGTCATGGATCAGCTGCCTCCTGCACGCCCCCTACTGGGGATGGAGCCCGAAACCCAGGCGTGTGCCCTGACCGGGAATTGAACCGCGATCTCCTGGATCCTAGGTTGATGCTCAAATACCAGCCGGGCTATCCTGGTTTCTTAAATAATTTGATATTTTCTTAGTGACTTGGGGTCCCTTTTAAAACACCTACCATAGCACGCTGTGGCCGTGGGGTGCCTGGGACTAGGCCTCCACACTAAGTGGCTAAGAGGGCCTCCTCTTCCCGAAGTGTCACTCACTCATATGCACCATTGTCAGCGGTCGGCCTCAGCAGCCACCCCTCCACCCTAATGTGCTGCCACTCTGCACTGAGAAACAAGAGGATCCTTCGAGCTGAAGGTATGTTGGATAAAAGGTTGATAAGGTCCCTCTTGCCCTGTGTTCCAGCCTTCGCCCAGACCATAAAATGCGCCCACGAGCGGTCGGTGCACCTCTTCATTGATTCCTTGCTGTACCCCGACAAGCAGAACACGGCCTACCTGTGCAGCGGCATGGACAGCTTCAGCCAGGGCCTGTGCCTGAGCTGCAAGAAGGGCCGCTGCAACACGCTGGGCTACCACACCCTCCAGGCGTGGAAAAGCAAGAAAAGCAAGAAACTTTTCCTGGTGACGCGAGCCCAGTCCCCCTTCAAAGGTGAGTGCAGGCAGCCCACAGCAGTCCAAGGACAGGAGGCAGCCCCCACCAGAAGGTTCAGAAGGTCCCTGAAGTCTTTTCCTGGAATGACTCCGGGTTCTAATTTAGTGTTTTTGCAACTGCACAGATTCCATACAGTGATACTGACAAGGCCTCTCTTCCCCCAAGAATGCGGCCACTGTACTGCCAGGTGTTAAAAGAAAGCCTTAATACTTTCTGGAACAATCCTTTGGTTGGCATCTCTTCCTCCATTTTCACGGTCCCCTCAGTGGTTACTTCGACCACCCAGGTCTCATTGTTACAGGGACCTGGAGGCATCTCCAACGCCAGGCTAGAACCCAGTGCTTTCATCTGCTCCTGACCCCCATGAAAAATACAGCTCCAGGCTACATTGTGGCTCCTCATTTCCCCTAACCTTTGAATTAGCTGATCTTACAGGATATCTTGGCCCTGTCAAGGCCTTTCTAAGATAATTTCAGCTTCCACTGTTTCCCAGTCAGATCCTCACCTTGGGCAGAAACCGAGCCCCTGCCCCTCTCTGGGTTGAATGGGAGGTCAGAGAAAGGACTGTGGCAGTGTCTTGGGCTGAAGCCAGCAGAGAAATTCTCCACTGAAGCCTAAATCTTCCTGGAGGGAACCAGGCGACATCTGTTGCCATTAACATTTCTGCCTAATCCTTAAAACAGCTCGTGAGCGATGTAGCCTCTTTTCCTAGCACAAGCTCTCCTGTGCTGGGAGGAGCCCGTGTGGTGCTGTTTGATTATAACCGTGCAAATATTTGTATCTGCAGAAGGTGAATGCATTGTCACCACCACTTTGCATTTGCACAGCATTGTATACAAAACATTAGATGGAGCCATCGACTCCTTGTGGTTCCCATATCAGCCAAGCGAAGTGGGCCAGGCTGGTTACCACATATCCCATTTTAAAAGGAGAGCAAAACTCTGATGGAGTGACCTCCCCACAGCCTGGAGGGAGGCCTAGCACCCAGGTTCATCCAACTCCCAGTCCAATGTTCCTTTTTACTACTACACTCCCAAGTTCAAGCTTCCGGCAACTTATTTCTCAGGTGTGCGTTCCTCTGTTTATCTGAATTTTTGCTCTCCAGCCTAATTTTCCTTCCCTGGGCCAAGGTAGCCCAGCAATGACAGAAACCCATTGTGGGTGGTAAGCTTCTGAGAGCACTAGGAGCAAGGGCAGGGTCCTTCTCACCCGCGGGGCCAAAGGGGCCCCTGTGCTGTCTGTGCCTCCAGGGTGGAGGAGCCAGTGGTATCTGGGAGCAGGCGAGGAATTTGGAAGGCCTCCTGCTTCAGGGAGCTCCCCCGCCACAGGCTGCTTATTAGACGCTCACTCATTTGGATTAACCGGTTCCTCTTTTAAATGGCAAAGCCGCCTGTAGTGATTAAGCCTCTCAGATATTCACATTTCACTGGATCTACTTTAATCCTGGAGTGTTAGAATTTCGAGAGGCTGTTCAACCTGCCTGTTCACAAACAGGGAAACTGAGGCATAGATGGGAGGGGAAACCATTTGCCCCAGAACACAAAGTGGGTTCTTGGCAGAGCCAGCATTTAGACCCAGACCTTCAAACAGCTGGTTGAGTGGTTTTTATTACCCCAGTAATCTGCTCTGGTCTGTCTGTGAAGGTGAAGGAGGCAGGGAGTGGGGTGGGGATTGTTTTCTTCCTGAGATCAGCTGGGGAAAAGGTCATGTTTTGCCTCCCAGGGTTGTACATTTGAAGTGAGGGGCTTGCTCCTGCTGGGCCTTGGAGATGGGGGAGGGAGAACAGTGTCAAGGGAAGGAAGAGGGGGGAGAAAGAGCAGTAGGCACAGCCAGGCTGAGTTCTTCCTTTTTACCAAGGCCGCCGAGTGCCCGACCCCCCATGCTGCTGGTATGAGCTCCTTTCCTATTAAGGAGACCAAAGAATCACATTAGGGCAGCATTACCCACGCAGCAGCTACCCAAACTGATGTGATCATTTATTCAGTTCCTCTTCAAACATTACGTGAACCAGGGTAGGCAGCATCCCTGCCTCAGGGGGGTTAGGGGAGACCAACCCCTGCCAAGCATTATGTGCTCCGTGCTGTCCCAGAAAAACAGGCCATGAGTCCCTTGGAGACAACATTTGGGTCTCTTTATGACCAACTACCCATCTTGATGAGAACTAGACCTACAGGGCCAGTGATTAGGGAGGCAAGACGGCCTGAAACTGGTCAGAACCCAAACCTCCAGGCCCTGACCGAGGTCCCAATGACACACTGTGGCCTGCACTGCACCCTCCCCTCCTCAGGGCCCTCCAAATCTGCCCCAGTTCTGCCTCAGTCCTTCTGGGGAGCCAGATCCTGACCCTCACACTGGTGGGGAGGATCAGCCCTGTGGTCACACCAGGTTGCGCTGGGAACGGCTGGGAATTACACTTAGGTGACACTTCGCCTGTTTGGAAACGGCTGCTCACTGGGGTGCTGCAATCTGTATAATGCTATGTCATCCAATATGGTAGCCACTAACCATACTTGGCTATTTAAATTATTTAAATTAAATTAAATTAAAAATGTAGTTCCTCCATCTACTAGCCCCCTTTCAAGGGCTCAAATACATGTTGCTGTAGCGGAGAGCACAGAAATAGAGCTCTATCACCGAGAGAGAAGTGCTTGGGACGGTGCTGGCAGGAAGCCTGTAATCTAAGCCACCATAACTACGCCCTTCTCCACGCATCCCGGCCACAATCATCTCTGACTGGGCCCACAAAGCCTTTTTCAGTGGCCACCCCCAGCATTTGATGAACATGTATCAATTCGTCAAAGAACAGACTTGCCCAACCTTGGTTACAGAGAACTCGCAACCCATATTTTTCAAGGACATTTAATTGTACTAGATATTTTAGTGCAGGGTCTGGCCGGGCAAGATAAAAGTCGCCTCCCGTTTGTAGTTTCACAAAGGATGACCAGCTTGGCTCATTCCTCTGGCTCCCAAGATATTTCGACAAAACCATCAAAGGATCTATTTTCTACAACCATCCACCAGAACTCGGGTAAACACTGGGAGAGGACGGTGTGGCAGGGAATTGGGAAACAGTCGCTGAGTGAAAGGAGGCAATTTATCGCCCACTTCAGTTCTCATTCTCTCACAAGGAACCTTTATCAGTTTGGAGCTAGTTTTTTAAGAGGGGGAGGGAAACAAATCCATATTGAGTAGATCCTGCTTAGCAAGAGCCTTATCTAACTAGTTAGATGAGATAGCATGTTGAGGGGAGGGAGTGGCACTTATGGGGCCACTGTAGGGTACCACGCAAGTTATCTCATTTTTTATTTAATCTTTACAACAACCCCAAGAGACAGACCAAGAGATAGGTGACAGACAAGAGACAGGTGGGTGGGGAGTGGGATTAATATTCCAATAAATAAATTGAGATTCAAAAAAGTTAAATCTTCCCAAAGTCATACCATTTATGAATAGCACATGGCAGTGTTTGACCCCAGGTCTCTGATTTCGCTGCCCTTGCTCCTATTGCCCATGCCCCTTTCACCCCACATGGCCTTCCCATCATCTGTCTCTCTCCCTCCTCTCTCCCCCCTTCTCCCCCCTCTCTCCCCCTCTCTC